GCGTTGGTTCACTTGATTCCAGATGAGGCATATGCGGAGACATCGGTTTCTCACGGAGGCCCCCGTGAGTGGGGCGAAGGCGAAGATTTCCCCTAATGCGGCGCCGCCGTCGGGTGTGGGTAAAATAATTTATTTTCTTTTCTCTTATTTTATTTTATTTTTACTTTCTTACTCTCACTCTCCCTCTCCCTCTCCCTCTCCCTCTCCCTAGACACGATCACGGGCCGGTTCATACCGGTTCACAGTTCAATTTTTTCGGAACCGGAACCGGCCCGTAATATGCACGGTTCGACTGGCCGGGTCGGCCCGCCGGTTCAATCCGGTTCCGGGCCTATCCGGGCCGGTTCACGGGTCGGGCCGAAAAATTTGATTTATATATACATATTTAAAAAAAAAATACTTAATGGATAAATAAATTAAATTAATTACTTTTAAATAGGAAAAAAATAAAAGAAATAAATAAAATGACTTTAACTTAATTTTATATGAAAAAATGGGGTGTAAGGGTATTTATAAGAAAAAATGGGGGGGGGGGGGGGAATTCAAAAAATAGCAAATAACGGCCGGTTCACCGGCCCTTTTTTGTTTTTTTTGAACTTTTTTGATTTTTTTTTTTAAATTTGGGTGAACCACCAAGCTGGCCCGGCGGTTCACGGTTCACCAATTCATAGAATCGGGCCCGTCCCGGGGATGAGGGGCCGGTTCACGGGTCCCGGACCGGTTCACCGGTCAACGGGTTGGGCCGGTTCCGGGCCTAAAACCGGCACGTGGCCGTGTCTCCCTCTCCCTCTCTCGGGGTTTAGTTTTCTTTATCAAAATTTAATGCCAAGTTCAGTACGAGTGAGAGAGGGAGAGAGATTGAGAGGGAGACTCTCCCTTTTCCCTCTCCCTCTCTCGGGGTTTAGTTTTCTTTATCAAAATTTAATGCCAAGTTCAGTACGAGCGAGAGAGAGAGGGGGAGAGAGATAAATTATTTTACCCACAGCCGACGGCGACGTCGCTTTAGGGGAAATCTTCACCGTCGTCCCACTCATGGTGGCCTCCCTGAGAAACCGATGTCTCCCCATATGCCTCAATTGGAACCGAGTGAACCAACGAATTGATTGTGACCAAATTAATCCTCTCAACAATTCTATGCAAAATCAATGGCGGTTCATTCCAAACAACATCACCACCACCATCATATGGAGGCATGAACTCCTCATGATCTGGCCTTAGCGGCAGAAAAAACTGGACAATTTCTGTATACAGATTGAAAACAACCGGACACCCTCCGACGCCACATGTTACAGTCACCGAGTAAGGACGTTTTGCCACAATACTAGTAAAACGTTTCCACAAACACAAATCCTGATGGTTCATTTTTGACCTAAAACAAAAAATGTTCACGAGCATGATAGATACAAAATGGGTTAGAAAACCCGGAAAACAAATTATTTGAGAAGTATATGAACTACCGTTCAGATAAATCACAAGGTGGTGATTCCTCCACCACATACTCTGACATATCTATCTCTATGAGCCTGCTTGCATCACAATACCAGTGCTCTGCTACAGCCTTTGCAATCTCCGTTTTACCATGTCTATAAAAGAAGAAACAAACCCCTCGGGCGCGTAACCATATCTCTATGCAAGCCCAACGTTCCAAAGATTTCATTAATCACCCGTTCTTGATTCACCACCCTCTTGCCAATCATATATATGGCCTTTTCCATCTGACTGGTAATATGCGAAAGAATCTGAGTATGCGGGACATCAGTCAAGCTGCTCACCACCTAATAAATGCATAGGGTCGTATACATCAGATGTGTAATAACATAAATTTAGAACAATTGAACAAACGTATTAAGAACAAAGTATCAAAGAAAAGTTGCCAAGTAAAAACCGACAGTACGAAGCACTAAAGTTGCTTAAAATGACAAGAAAGAAACCTCGGCAACATGACAAGCCTTGACTGTCAAGATAGGCTGGAAAAGTTCGATTAGCTCGCCTCGTATATCATCCAGAAACTGATCATCGGCCACTCTACTACTCCATGGTGTAATAATTAATTCGTCCAGCATATCGCAATCGAACAAAGACGAAGTCGTAACGTTTTTCCATCTCAGTAAAAAATCTTTCATGTACAGTGCTGCAGAATCACGTTCCAGAATTAGGCGATTCACCCACGATTGGGTAGCCGGATAATTCTCCCTGTGTAACTCATTTAGTTCGACAAGCGCTCGCTGCAGTTGATACGCCTTCTCGTAGAATTCAATCTCGTGGACACAATTTCTGAGTTTGCTTTCCACCATCATGCATGCTCCGTCCAAAATTTGGAGACCTTTTTCGAAGGTTGATTTTTCTGAAAAATTATTCGTTGAGAAATTTTGATTCAAATAAAATAAAAAAAAAAACAAAAAAAAACATAATCAATCGTAATTACAGAGAATTAAAAATAATCAACTAACCGGAGATCAGTTTGCCGGAATTGAAGTATTTAACGCCGTGAACGGCGAGACGAAGAGCGCAGACCAAAATCCGAACGGTATATTTCTTCTCCAACTTCGGTTTTGCTCCTTTCAACACCTTTAGCAATTCCTCCTCCATTGATTCTTGCAACGATTCTTCTAGCGGGTGATAATGTTAAACCCTAATCTAACCTGAAGAAACCATAGTGTAGCAACAGATTCTTATCTGCGATTTAAACAAACAAGAAAAACTTGCACAAAAATAATTTTATTGAATTAAAATAAAATATTGCGGGTTACAAACTCTAATTTAATCCTCTAATTCTTCTCTCATGAAAAATATGTGTTTCACTTTGAATTTCAGAGTCGGGTCGTTGACTTGATCTTCTCTGGATTTGATTTGGATTTGAATAACGTCTTCCAAGGGTCTTGCGACTTGAATCTCGAATCGAACGCTGAACTTTGACGGGCTTTGACTTAAAGATCTGAGTTCTTCGAGTTTTAACTTGAAGATCTTGGAGTTATTCGAGATTTGACTTGAAGATCTTGGAGTTCTTGATGGATTTGGCCCTTCAATCTTCCTTCGATCTTGATTGGTTGAAGAACACCCTTAATTTGATGAAGAACGACTTGAATATTGTAGAGAGAATTTTCTCCTACGGTTTTTCTTCTTCTTGAGTTGTGTGTTGAATTGTGTAGGGAGGGTCTCTATTTATAGTGGTAGAATAAAAGTCCTACATAAAATATTCTTGATGACGTGGCGTGATTTGATTGGCTCTCTTTAAATTGATAATTATCTCTTATAACTTGGAAGAAAATAAACAATCCTATTGGTCAATAATTAACTGGTATTTATCTCCATTACTTGTCTTCCAAGACAAGCCATAATTTAATTTAGACACAATTTAATTGGCTAATTTAATTAACCAATTAATTAATTTTATGTGTCTACACCTAGATTTCTTTTAGTGAAACCCTAGATTTTTAGTTTCTCACCTCCACGAAATTAGATTAAACGAGTTTTTTACCCTAAATTTTATGCAAAAAAAAAAGTACAAAAAAAAAAGGATTTTACAAAAGGGGTAATATGCTATGAGCCCCTCAAACGAAACCTAATTTGAACTAAATGACAAGTTCAAATTCATTTTTTTAATTAAGTCCTTAATTTAAAATAATATATGAGCCACATCCCTAATTTTTTTAATCCCTATCTTGCCCTTATACCCTAAATTATATAACCTACATATTCTCGTTTCTACAATTCAGATTTATTTCGTTCTTTTGGTTTCTCTCTCTCTCTCCGTCCCTCTCTCACACGTTCTCTAATCTCTTTTTTCAATCTCGTTTTTTTTCTCCATCTTTCTCTCACCTCTCTATCTCTATACCTCTCTCTTGCTAATTAATTAGGTAATAGTCGAAGCCAAGGGTTGTGGTGGATGAGGAGGCGGCTGCGAGGGTTGTGGTGGAGGAGGCGGCATCGGCGGGCTGTGTTTTGAGATGGCGGCGAGGTGTTGTGGGCGGCGGCGGGGGCTGGGGTGGAGGAGGTGGCGGCGATCGGCTTTGTTTTGAGATGGCGGCGAGGTGTTGTGGGCGGCGGCGGGGGCTGGGGTGAAAGAGGCGGCGACGAGGGGCTGGGGTGGAGGAGGCGGCGGTGACCTGTGGTGGTTGAGATGGCGGCGAGGTGTTGTGGGCGGCGGCGGGGGCTGTGGTGGAGGATTCGGCGCCGGTGGGTGTGGTTGTCGAGATGGCGGCCGGCTGTGGTGGTTGAGATGGCGGCGGGGATGTAGTTATGGTAGAGATTCGATCTTGATCTTCAAGAGATTTTTCTCGATTTGGGTTCAAAATCGTAAATCTAGGTTTTCCCAAAGTTGGTAGGTTACGGTTGCGACGGCTGTAGACGTTGGCTGCTAGAGTTTGACGTTGACGGCTAGGGTTGACGAGGGTTGTGTGTTGGCGGTGGCTAGGGTTTGGTAGTACACCGTAGTATACCATAGTCTACTATAGTATTACAACAAATAAAATATTATATATATATACTGAATTAACAAAAAGGAAAAACAAGTTTTGTTTTGTAATTTTTAATAATATTGTAGATAAAAATATTTTTTAATAATAATGTAGAAATGATAGTACACCATAGTATAACATAGTATACCATAGTATTTTTGAAATCTGCTGAATTATTTAACAAAAAGAAGAAAAAAAATTGTTTATAATAATATAAACAAATGCAGAGTGTAAATTGAAAAAATAAAGATGAGTGAAAGATTTCGGAATGAATTTAATAAAATATATGAAACAAATGTTTAGTTGAGCTTGTCATTTAGTTCTAATTAGTTTTGTCACTAGGGACCTATATCTTAAGACCCCTTTATAAAATTGAGAAAGGGCATTATTGACAAACAAATTGATTTCGGGGGTATTTAAAGGTGTTAATATTACATGCGAGGTAAAAGTGAAGATTAAAATAATATAAAGGAGGTAAGTGAACAATATGTATAATATAAGGGTATAAGAGAAATTAATCCAAACTTTAAATACATATATGCAGTGCAATAAAATATAGGAAAAACGCCTAAAATTATACGATTCATCAGTTTACCCCATTTTCTAAAGCAAAATCAGTTTTCCACAAACCCTAATCGCAATTCCGACCGTGAATCAGTAAAAATGGTGCTTGCGCAATTAGGTGGCAGCATTTCGCGCGCGATTCAGCAGATGAACAATGCGACGATCATCGACGAGAAGGTTTTGAATGATTGCCTCAATGAGATCACGCGCGCACTCCTTCAAGCTGACGTGCAGTTCACGCTCGTTCGCAATATGCAGACCAATATCAAGAAGATCGTCGATTTCGACGCTCTCGCCGCCGGCCATAATAAACGCAACATTATCAAACAGGTTTCCCCGATTTGAATTTTGGAATTTTGGAATTTGATCAGCACAAAGTTTTTTCATTTTTCCCTGCTTTATTTTAATAAAATGAGGGTGTGGTTTTTCAGTCTCAGTGTTTAATGTAGCGTTGTTAATTCAATAATTTGGATGTGTTTTATGCGTTTGTTTGTCGAAAATCGGAAAGAGGGAAAATTGAGGATATGATAGCATAAGACGAAATCACGAGTCTCTTGATGCAATTAGCTTTTGCTTTGCTTTGGGATTGAGTAATTAAATTTGTGTTTTTATTTCCGTTTGACTGCGAGTGTGAGGATTTTGTTTAGATAGTTTTGACTAGTGAGTTGCTATGTTTATTTATAATATAGAATTTAGTGCCCCCCTTTTGTAGGCTATTTTGAAGGAGCTATGCAAGATATTGGATCCAGGGAAGCCTTCGTTCGCTCCCAAGAAAGGGAAAACTAGCGTTGTTATGTTTGTTGGGTTGCAAGGTATGATGTTAAACTATATTGTTTATTTTGTATTAGTAATCTATGCGTGGTATATAGTGTCATTCTGGGTGGAATTTTCAACTTTTCGACTCACAGTTTAATCATGAAATACACATTTAATGGGACTGAGCATGTGATATTCATGATATCGTAAATTTTGATATCTTGAGAGGAAGGAGTCAAATTTTGACATATGCTTGATTTTTAATTATAGGGTCGGGGAAAACAACGACTTGTACCAAATATGCATACTTCCACCAGAAGAAGGGATGGAAACCTGCCTTGGTTTGTGCAGATACATTCAGAGCTGGTGCTTTCGACCAGTTGAAGCAGAATGCCACTAAAGCCAAAATTCCTTTCTATGGAAGGTATCATTTTTTCGCTATGATTTGGTGGATTAGTTTCTTCGTGTTTGTTTAAAAAAATCCTTGTTATCCCATGAAAAATGAAGGATGATTACATTCTTTTGATGTTTTTTTTTTGTTGCGGGGATTAGTAATGTGTGAATCAAAGCGGCAATTTTTTTTTTGGGTTTATAAATTCATTAGTGCCCAGTAAGTACAAAAGGTTGCATTTGTCAATCAGTAATGCCATGAAACTGTTTATGTGAAGATTAAGAGTGAAGTTTGATAAATTTGTCAGAATGAGCATTTATTTTATGCTCGTGAGTATGTATTACTAGGTGAGGATAAGTATGCATATTGATTCTTAAACAAAAGGTGGCTTTGCAATATGGAATATTTCATCGGAGTTGGATTCTTGTTTCTGTTTCATGCTTCCATTGTAATGTCTTTTGGTCCTCTAGTATGAAATGATATATTCTTTTACAGCTACACGGAGTCGGATCCTGTGAGCATTGCTGTAGAAGGGGTTGAAAGGTTTAAGAAGGAAAACTGTGACCTCATAATTGTTGATACCAGTGGACGTCACATGCAGGAAGCAGCTCTTTTTGAAGAGATGCGTCAAGTTTATGAAGCAACGGTGTGCTTTTCTGTGCTTCGCCTGTTTCTTTGTTTCTAATTTCGACTTAGTTATAAGATAATAATACTAATAATAATGACATTATCATTTGTAAATTCCAGAAACCAGATCTTGTGATATTTGTCATGGATAGCAGTATTGGTCAAGCTGCATTCGATCAAGCTAAAGCATTCAAGCAAAGTGTTGCGGTTGGAGCTGTAATTGTCACTAAGATGGACGGGCATGCTAAGGGAGGTGGTGCTCTTAGTGCGTAAGTTATAAAAAGAGCTTATACATTTTTTTCCGAGTTAATGATAATATTAGCTAAATATGCAAATGATGCACATAATATCTCCTGATATAAGTTCGTTTGGTTTTGGATCCGTCTCTAGTATCTAGTATCAGGGTGTAAGAAACTCTAATTAGAATATTACTGGTAAAGATTTCCAGATGAATCTAAATTGTATTTCTTTTATCAATTAAACTATTCCAAACTCGATGATTTGCTTACTGTGGAAAACATGTTTTGCAGAGTTGCAGCAACAAAAAGTCCAGTGATATTTATGGGCACGGGTGAACATATGGACGAGTTCGAAGTATTTGATGTCGAGCCATTTGTTAACCGTCTGCTAGGTTGGCATTCCCTAATCATCGTTTGTTGCAAAACATTTTTTTTTGCCGTTAAGTCATTAATACTTGTGTATCTCTATATATTATTATAGGCATGGGTGGTGGCGACTGGTCTGGGTTCGTTGAAAGAATTCAAGAAGTGGTTCCGAAGGATCAACAGCTGGAGAAGCTTTCTCAAGGCAACTTTACTTTCAGGACTTTGTACGAGCAGTTTCAGACTTTACTTAAAATGGGTCCTATGAGTCAGGTTAATCCCTTTTCTTTCTCGTGAGTCCATGTTTACACTACTCGAGTTCCGTTAGCTTCATTTCATTTTTAATCTTCAACTCTCAATAGAGGAATTATCGGAATAACGACATAGCATGTTATATACACTGCCCAAGAATGTTGTGAAAACAATTACTCGATTATATCGCCATTATCTTGACAATAAATTTCTAATTTTTTCGGGTTGCTGCTTAAGTAACTAAGCCTCATTTTCTCTTCGTTAGGTACTCTCCATGCTTCCGGGATTTAGCCAAGAGTTGATGCCCGAAGGACGTGAAAAGGAAAGCCAGGCTAAGATTAAAAGATATATGACAATGATGGACTCGATGACTAATCAAGGCAAGTTTAATTACCAAAATACCCATTTCCACTAGAGCTATATTTGTTACTTATTAGAAAACATATAAACTATTGCAGAGCTGGATAGTTCAAATCTGAAGATGATGAACGAGTCTCGATTAATGCGGATAGCTAGAGGGTGTGGGCGTCCGTTGAGGGATGTGATGGAACTATTGGAAGAGTATAAACGTTTGGCGAAGATTTGGGGGAAAATGAAGGGAATGAAGATTCCGAAGAAGGGAGAAATGAGCGCCCTATCGAGAAATATGAACGCGCAGCAACTGAGTAAGGCGCTGCCACCTCAGATGCTGAGTCAGATTGGCGGCATGGGCGGCTTGCAAAGCTTGATGAAGCAAATGGGTTCTGCTAAGGATGTTATGGGTATGTTTGGTGGTGGGGATAATAAATAGGTATTTAACTTAGTCGACTGTGGGGAATTCCAAGATTCCTTTCACATTGAACTTGAATCAATTCTTATCATTCAGGTACATATACATCTCCCATATAGAGCAATTTGAGATAGACTATTTGTTCAAGGTGACCATTTTTGGGTTTTTACTCCCATCGATATTATTAAGAAGTTGCGTTGCTTCATTTTTTCATCAGTTATAATTGACTAAGACATCGTTTCGTTGCCAAGATAAGATTAGTCAATATATATATATATATATATATATATATATATATATATATATATATATATATATATATATATATATATATATATATATATATATACATGGACACATAAACCCTAGTAGACCTACACGCAGAACCCCAAAAAGCCGAGTCTCTCCCCGATAAACCATATCCACTGCAAACCCTAGCTCTCCATCAAAATCTAGAAAAAAATGGCAGCTGCCAGCGAGAGGCAACGCAGAGAGACATGTCAAATGTTGAAGAAATCTAGGAAAAGAATGGCAAACGACGAAAGGATAGATGAACTATTTCGAATGATGGACGAGCTTGAGGCGTTGGAGGAAATTGTGGAATGCATGCGTGCGCTATCACTTCCTCCTACACGGCTATGTGTTGGATATGTGTGAAAAAGAACATCATCTGCGTGATTTATCAGGTTGGATATGCCGAATGGGAGTCGTCAAAGTTTTCAAGTGCGGACACCGCTTGCACAGTTGGTGATACATGAATTACAGATTAAAATGAAGAAGAAAAAAGACTGACGCCGGTATCGAGTGCCCAGTGTGCAATGCTACTCTAGAGCTGTGCGGTTGGTTTCCTTTATCAGGAACTCCGAGATGGTGGAGCCGCTGGCCTCCGGAATCAAGGACGAGGCTGCGACGATATACCTGTGGCTACATTGTGCAAGGTTTTCCGGACTGTCAGTGTTTCTACCACATCGGTTGTTTCGAGAGTGAGATTAAGGATGACGATTCGGTTGCTTAGAACTACAATATATATATATATATATATATATATATATATATATATATATATATATATATATATATATATATATATATATATATATATTGTATATATTGTATATAAAGTCGTAGTTATAGATAGTGCTGAAAATCGAACGGATCGGAAATTCAAATTTTCAAATATTGGAATGAAAAAACTTGTTTCGCAATTGAAATTTCTCGATTCAAAATCGACAGAATTTGCAAATTCCAACTTGACAAAAAATCGAATAAAAAATTGAAATTTGTTATATAAATGAAGGGAATTAATATACCAAAGAAGGGAAAAATGAGTGCGTTATCGAGAAACACGAATGCAATACAAAATGTTAGTACAGGGTCGACTTAGGGCTTATTTGGTAATGAGATTTCTAAAATTTAAATAAATAACTAAATAAGAGATCGAGGCCCGTAAAATTCCAACCTAAAATTTCACTATAATTAAAATCATTAAAATTAAAAAATAAAAATAAAAATAAAATCTGATTTCACCGATTCGAACGGTTGTAAGGGACTTGCGATGCGATTTGACTATTGTGTGTGCGCGTAAGGGACTTGCGATGCGATTTGACTATTGTGTGTGCGCGTGTTTGTGTGACTTATATTTTGCTTTATTCGAATTTACACTCGGTCGAATTTACACTCGGTGAACTTGACGAAGTTAATATTACTATGTACATGTGTTGTCAACTAACTCGCAATGGTTCAAACATTACAAAGAGAAACCAGGGTGGTAAAAGCTGGCACAACGAAATAACTGCAAATTATTCAAGCAGCAGCTGCCACCAGGAATACGCAGAAAAGGCCCGTCGTCGTCCTCTGCCGCAGGGTTAAAGACAATTATCCCATCCACCCGATGCATCAACTCCGTCCTAAATCTCTTCACACTCTGCCAAAACATAAACACCAAAACAAAAATCCAATATCAACAAACCTTTTTTTTTTCTTCCCGATATCGGGAAAATTAAAAAAAAAAGAAGTAAAAAGAAATAACAAAAAAAAAAACCTGATTCACGGCCATACTAGACGGAACATTCGGTCGACAATTAAACCTAGCCTCAGCAATCCAAGGTTTATTTTCCACATCCGTTAAAAGGATAACGATACTTCTCCAAAACTCAACCTCACAGTCACCATCGAGTGTACCCTTATCAAGAATCTCGAGTATGCTCTTATAGATCACATCGTCGGCAAACTCGATTCCATCGAACAAAACGACCACACTTGGCCTCTTCTTCACTTCATCGATAACAAGCTTCTTCACTTCCTCGCCTCTGCAATTATCGTCCAATTTGATATACACGAAGAGCGATTCCCCTACCGACTCGTTAAGGGAACTAATCAGCCCTTCTTTAGCACCACCGTTCAAACCTCCAATTAGGAAGTGCTTATCTGGCAAATTAGGCGATTCCAATGACGCAGCGTCGCTCGTCTTCACTAGAGCATCTAGTATCACACTAGTTACTTTAGCAATACCACTATCGTTTCTTTTTTTCAATTTTTCGACAAGACTTTTCAACGTCTTCTTCTTCTTCTCTTCAATTGTAGGAAGAATATTGTCCCAAGATGCTCTCTGCATACGTGCATGTGTACGTGTTTTGGTTGTGTAGTCGATATACATACATACATACATACATACATACATATAAGTAATGGAATATAAACAATATAATAAACATACCTCTTTAAATACGCATGTTAGTGGTTTGTCTCCCAAGCAACACTTTAAGAGCCCGTCGCAAGAATTTGCTAATAAATTCCCCAACAAAAATAAACTATGGGGAGTAAGCAACATGCGCAAGCATTCTCTACGAAAGTTGAATATCTTATGCACTGTTTTAACCTTCTTCTTTAAGCCGACCAACAAATTATCGAATGTCCCATCTGCTAGCTTTAAGTACCAATCGGGAGCATTTTGTCCATGTACTTGGAATCTGAACGATAGCTCGTGAGTTCCAACTAACGTATCAATATATACAGAAGCATTGTCTGCACCTTTTGAGGTTGCTAATTGTGGAATTACGTGCTCGAGCAATGCTTTTTGGAAAGCCTTTCCAGCTTCAATCTACCAAAAAAAAAAAAAAGAAAACGAGAAAAACACGATCACAAGGTGAATGAAGTTACGGTTTAAAAGAGACGAAGCGATTCACATGCAGACATTTCTTCCTCTTCAATAAATTAAAACACGAAGAACTAGCAAATAATAAACTCAATAGAAACTACTTACATGTACGGTTGGTGCCTTGAGAAATAAGGCATCTATTGCAGCATTAGACGCATGCACGACAAATCTTTCTCCATAAATATCTCTAACAATTTCCCGAAGCAACAGCCTCGCAACAGCCTTGTTATTTTGAAACCTCCTCACGACAAGAATTTTAACTGAATTTAACAGCTCAGCATCGAAGATTCTTCTCACCTACAGATTCCATTACAAAACAAAAGGAATTCGCTCACATACAATTGACGAAATCAGGCACCAACTTTATTTATAAAAAAAAAATGCCAACCTCGGCAAGAACTCTTTCCTCACTGCCCCTTAAATTACAAATACGGGCCCTGTAGAATTCGACTGGATTGCGCCTAAGCTGTTCCAAAACATCTTCATTCCAATTTGTACTAGAGAACAACGGTGGAAGTTGTGTGGACCCCACACTTGAAGTCATAAAAATAATAGAGTTGGAGAAGTCAACAATGCTCCTCTTACTATCACCGTAACTCAAAACCTCAACGAGAACCCTTGCGACAATAGAGGAAGCCTTGTCAACTTTGTCGAGAAGGATAACTGAATAAGGTCGTTTCGCCACAATCTCAGTAAGACGATTCCAAAATTCACGATGCATTCTCTTTGACCTAAAAAAGAAGTTGCTCGGTACAAAAGCGGTTAATAATTCGAAATCGATAGTCTTGATTAATGGAATCAACGCACTTACCACTCAACTATATCACAATTTGCTGATTCCAACTGAGGCGGCTCTGCGTACTCTGACATATCTATCTCCACAAGCCTGCTCGCATCACAATACCAATGAAGCGCAACAGCCTTTGCGATCTCCGTTTTACCGACTCCAGAACCACCCAAAAGAAGAAACGAACCCCTAGGGCGGGTAGTAATCGGCCCACTTACGGACAACGTTTCGTAAATTTCATTTATCACGCGTTCTTGATTCACCACCCTCTGTTTCGTCATATAAATAGCCTTTCTCTTGTGATTGTTAATTGACGGAAGAATCTGCGTGAGCGGGACATCAGTCCGCATGCTCAGCACCTACACCTCCATGAAGTTGAAGTCGAAAATCAGAGCTTGCAATTTAACAAAAAATAAATTAAAATATTAAAATGGACAAAAAACCTCAGCAACATGACACGCCTCGACTGTCAAGAGACACTTGAAACGTTTAATTAGCTGTCTTTGTATATCATCGAGAAACCGAACAATGTTACGGGACTTTTCACGGGGTACGACAGACGATTCCTTCAAGATGCTCTTATTCAGCACAGGACAGTATAGAGAAGCAATGTTCGACGCGTATTCCCTGTACAATTTAATCTTTTTCGGTGTTCTTTCGTCCAGAAACAGATCGAACGCAAAGTCCCATTGATATAAGAAGTCTCCCATGTAGAATGATGCGGAATCGCGCTCCGATTTCAATCGAGCCACCCATAATTGGCTATCCGGGTGCTTGTCCCTGTGCAATTCAATTAGTTCGACAAGGGCGCGGCGCAACTCGTACGCCTTGTCTTTGAACTCGATTTCGTGGGCGCAGTTTTTCAATTTTTCTAGCACCAGCTTGCATGCACATTCCAATATTTCAACACTTTTTTCTAGGGTTTCATCTCCTATAATTAATTAAAATATTTTTCTTTGTTATATCATCACATAACATTTTCTAGTGATAAAAGGCGCGATTTTTTTTTTAACACCCTGATCGAAATTTCTAGGGTTCCTTATCATCGATTTTATCCGAAGCAATCAACAAATATGAACAATGTGAGGCAATTGAAAATAAATAAACTAACCGGGCTGATGTTTGGAATCGAAGAATCGAACGCCATGGACGGCCAGGGAAAAAGCTTGGACTGAAATTGGAAGGCGGTATTTCTTCTCCAGCTTCGATTTTGCTTCCGGTGACACCCTCGCCGCCATTTCTTCATCCATCTGTAAGGGTGCATTTGGATTTGGATGGAGGGATGGATTGAGGTCATTTTTAGTTAATTTTTGAGCAATAGTGATGGATTTCAAATGACTCCAAAATTGGAGTCATTCCAAATTCATTCCCCAAATCAAATCCCTCCATCCAAATGGACCCTAACCTTTTTCCTTCGACGATTTCTTCCCCCAAAATCCCAAATTTTACATGTGAGTATTTCAATTATACGTAATATTATGTTAAAATTGGTAAAATTACTTACTAGTCCTCTAACTTGATATGTTTTGCATTTGGCTCCCTTTATTTAACATGAAAATTGAAACAACAACAGTTTGGTAATGAACTTTCTAAATTTTTAATAAAAAATAAGTAATCGAGACCCGTGAAATTTCAACCTAAATTTTGACTATAATTACAATCGTTGAGGTAAAAAAAATTGTTATTTACAGATTCGAACGGTTGTAAGGGACTTGCGATTTGACTAGTGTATTGTGTGTGAGATTAATATTTTACCTTATTTAGATTTACACTTGGTGAACTGGACGAAATTAATTTCACTATATACTCAGCAAACTGGTGTAATTTATCGGGTATATGATCCACACGACCTTTGCATATGGTTCAAAATTAAATCAAGATACTTGACATTACATTCGAGCACACTTATTTGAACTCAATTTGTCAGTATAACGAACCAAACTTCAGCTGATATTTTCGTTTAACAAGTTTGAATCTCAACTCGATCTCGATTAGAAAAAATCATAAAACGTGTACACAAATTCAATCTCAAATTGCGTTCGACTCAATTAAAACTCGTTTCAGTTTGATTCGATTGTTTAGCCGACATACCCTCAAACAAAATATCTATTTTTTGAGAAGAATTGAATTTTATCTTTTAGTGCATATAATACAATAACAATAATTGAAAATGTAGATATTCTATATAATAAAATAAACATAAATAAAAATTGAAAATGCGGATCTCAAAACACGGATTCCCCACTACCCATCCCTGCTGCTAATAACGCGTCCCCTTGCTATATATATATTACGGTCGTCGCCTATACATACACACTGTCTATATATATACAATATATATATCTCACTGTAAATTCATTCAATTCTCTCTCACCCAATTGCAATTAATCAACAATGGAGATTCTGGAGCAAGCGAAGAACTACGTCGCCGGAAAAGTTGCGAACATGCCGAAGCCGGAGGCCGACATCACCGACGTGGATTTCAAGGGTTTCGGACTCGACGGAATAACTCTCCTGGCGAAGATCTCCATCACCAATCCATACTCCGTCCCGATCCCGATCGGAGAGATCGCCTACGCCGTCAAGAGCGCCGACAGATGCATCGTCTCCGGCACCATCCCCGATCCCGGATCCATCAAGGGGAACGGCGACACCATGCTCGAGGTGACGGTGAAGGTGCCGCACGGCGCCATGGTCAGCCTGATCCGAGACGTCGGCGGCGATTGGGACATCGATTACGTGCTGGAATTAGGGCTGATTATCGATCTGCCGGTGATCGGAAATTTCACGATTCCGATGTCGTACAAAGGTGAGATGAAGCTACCTACCTTCGCCGACTTTTTCCGTGGAGGAAAATCGACTCCCGAAGAAGAAGAAGCAGTATGCAAATGAATTTTCCCCCCTTTTTTTAATTTGTTGGGAATCAATAAAATATCTCTCTGGTTTTCGATTTACATGACTTTTTTTAAAGTTTTATTTATCTTATCTATCAAACGATTCTGTGTTTGAAACTATTTATCTATTGAGCTTTTTGTTGTAGTATTCGAATTAATTATCAGAAAAGTTAATATGGAGTTGTTCAATAATTTTTAATATATTAAAGCACAAGTTGGATTTAATTTAGAGCGCGTTGCTTAAGAGCTCGACCTTTTTGATGACCTTTTTGATGAACTGAGCCCGAACTCATTCTTAGTTCTTGAGCTCTTGAGTCGGCTCGTGAGTTTTTTATTTTAAATATACTAAGATAACATTAAGTAATAAATTCATATAAATAATAATAAACTTTTTTTAATTATAATTTATAATAATAAAATTCTAATAATACCAATTTAAACATTAAAAAAAAAACACAAATAAATGGCTTACACTTGAGATCGAACAAAAGAAAAAAACTCGAAGAGCTCAAACTCGGCTCGTCTATACCCCTAATGTATATGATTGGATATTAGCTATTATACTTTACTAAGTATAATTATGTAATATAAAATAAACATATGTTAATATGAAAGTTATGAATGACATCAAAGCTATAAATATATATGTACACATTCTAAAATGATAATAAAATAAAATTAAGAGAGGCTATGCTTCAAAACATGAATGGAGTTGGAGAAAATGCTGGCATGACATGTGGAAGTGGAGCTCTCCTGCAAATCACATAAATAAAAAAAGATATTAGTATTCCTTTAATTAACTTCAAAAATAAAATAAAAATAAATACTAAACCAGAAGCATAGATGTCCAAGAAAAAAGAAAAGGACAAGTAATATTGACAGTTTTGTTTTAGTTGTCAATTGTTTTTGTTAAAATTGCGAGGTCGTTCTCCTAAGTGGTGTAAATGAACTGAGCTGGCTCGTGAGTTAGATGGGTCGACTCAACAAAAATTCGACCTCAAACTTGAACTCGCGAGCTCGAGCTCGAGCTCCATCTTATTTGAACTCCTCTCAACAAGTAAAATAATCCGTAAGATTTAGACATTATTTTAGTGACTTAAACATCTATAAATTAATACTTCCGGGATTAACAAACTCCTATTATATTTTTGAAATACTAAATTATCGAACTAATAATATAGTATATTATTATTGAATCCAGACGGAACAAAATTTGTATCTAAGTGAGATTATTAATTTATCGAGAGCGGTGCTAACTTGCACTCATTGATTTTGAGCATTAGGAAGTTCACAATCACTTCCCATAAGTTTTTCCAAACACAATATCACTAATGTTATATATTAATTTCATGGTGGAAATTTTAATATCAACACAAAAATTTGAAAAAAAAAAAAAAAAAAAAGTTTAAATGGTAGAAGATTTACCGGCCATAATCGCAATCTGAAGAACGAGTCCGATCTCTTTGAGACACGGACGAAATCTTCCGCTTGAGGGTCCGCCGCCACCCCGCCGCCGCCGTCGTCCGCTCGACATTGTTAGCCTTCTCCGCCGTGGACACGTCTTCCGAAATCGGCGCCAGCGAAGGCCGCCATTCGCGGCCGCCGCCCCTCCCCTTGCCCTGCTTCCGTCCAATTTGGCGCTGGGGATCCTCCTGCACCGCCGGGATAATCGTCTCGTCCGCCGGCGGCCGAATCCCCGACGACCACGACCCACCACACGCGACGAATTCCAATAAAAACTTCATAATTGCGTAACAAACAAACAGAGAGAGGAGATTGGTAAACAAAGATGCCTGAGAGAAGATAATTAAACGAACCGGGTGACCCGAATGGGTATATATATAGATGTTAGGGTTTAAGAAGAGGGAGAGATTGACCCGAATTGGTATATTTCTCTGTTATACGTCTCTGTGTGTGGCGCCGTTGTTTGGGAGAAGATGTAATTCAAATTGTGATAGGAGTGCGTGCGTGTTATTTATTATTAATATATAGAGAAACTTTTAAATAAAGATAAAATTTGATCAATTATATAAGGGTGCAAATTTAGACCGGATGGTCTGTTTTAATAGGAAAATCGGATGCCATAGAATGATTGACACGTAGATAGTTTAAATATAAAATATAATTAAGATTCTAATAATTGAGAAAAAAGAAAAAAAAAAAAAAAAGGAAAAAGAAAACCCAGCATAACCCATAACCCGTCTAACCCTAGTTATAATCAGCGTGATTTATTAAGAGTTAAAACTTAAGAGTGCCACATGTCAACAAATGAGTGGAATCCAATTTATATTAAATATCGGCTGATCCGCTCAGAATTTAATCTCATTATATAAATAATAATATAATATAATCGTTTGGTTGGGGGAGATTAGCCATTATTAATTAAATAATCAGATTTTAATTAATAACTTGGTGGGCCAAACTGCATTATGTTATCACGATTTATCTTGCATTTTAGGAAAATTTTGTTGCACTCTCGATGTCCCATAAAATAATTAAGTTTTAGATTGGTTAATATTATCTTAGCTAATCTTATCTTGACAACCAAACGAGACCTAAGAATACTACTCGATAGAAAATTAATGATTTTTAGTAAATGCATAGGAAATCTTATTTAAAAATCAGAGTCCGACACTCACTCACTCTATTTTTCTTCTTTCAAATCCTTTTTTTATTCTTTAAGTTTTCGATGACGTTATTTTGTCAAAAATACGAAACTTGTGCCTAAATCAGATGCAACGGCAACTTATCTGTGTTTATCGTAGACACACATTTATATTGATTTGTTAAGCTCCTTCTTAGGTCGAAACTCGCCAACAAGTTTTGTTTTTTGATCTAACAAATATGCCGCCTGGAATTCGTGTGTTGGTAACAAAAGATTAAAATAAAAAAATCAGAGTGGATTAAGATTTTTGCGAGCAAATATGATTTTGCTATGAACCTCATTTGAGAAAAGAATGATGGAAAATAGATGATTAAAAAAAAAAAAAAAAAAAAAAAAGAGATACGACAAAAAATATATACTTTTTTGTAAAAAAAAACTACGAACATTCATTAGAGTTTTTAGGTTGACCTAGTATTAATTATTTTTATATATCGCGACCAAATTACGATTTCATGTGTAATTAAAATTGCGTCTATTGCCTCGACGTCGACCAAATTGGATTAGATTAGATATTATTTTATCATCAATTAGTGTCTTTATCCCTAATTTATTATTAGGGATAGATTAGCTTAATTAAGTTAGTCATTAGTGCACACAAAGTTGCCCTCTCTCCTCTCCGAAGGGCAAACCTAATTTAGTCAACTCCACAGGTACATGGGAGATTAGGATGATAATAAACACCCGATGTAAATAACCAGGTGTAGCATCTAACTCCTCCATCTAAAGTAGAACAAAAACAAATTTTTTGAATTAAATATCCAAATATATATTTTAAAAAATAAATATATAATTTGTATAGAAATGCGGACGTGGGACTTGTTTAATTTTCGCAACATCCAACTGCATATGTTTGTAATTATAATTAAATCAGCTAAAAAATATCAATTGTCAAGTTACTTTCGAATTAAGTATATATAGTTACTTGTAGATGAAGGCATATATATATATATATATATGCTGCCACCTGTACATTTTGCATGTATACATATATGTCTGTGTGTGTGTGTATATATATTGTCTGAACAATTTAGTGATGTAGAAGAGAGATACAGACTGTGGTGGTGGTGACTGTTAATGAAGGGGAAGAACTTACCGCAACGTGCTACAAACATATTCCACCACGTACAATGTTTCAAGTATTATTAGGTGGTCCTAGAATACTTGATATATCTTTTTGTTTGATCCTACTACATCTTATCAAATAGAATCATAATATTTCACCATACACGTATTATATATATATATATATATATATATATATATATATATATATATATATATATATATATATATATATATATATATATATATTACTTTTTATACTTTATAAAATAACGATAGTTACTAGTTTCTCAATTCCCTCTCGGATGTTTCGGGTGACTAGAACCCGTGACTAAATAGGTCCAAGGTGCAAGATCCTTACCAACTGACTACCTTGTCAATGTAGTATGTATGGAGTGGTAATTGGACGGATCGAAATAGAACCAACACTTTCAGAAAATTTCATTTTTTTTTTCCGAATATGAAATACTAATTTCAATCAGTTCTGAATAAATTTGAAAAAAATAAAAAAATTAGAATGAAAACTCGTTCCAATACTGTAAATGCTTGTATCGGAACCAACGGAATTTGAATTTTCCGTTTTCAGTCTTCTATAGTATAACATACATAACATAATTGTGTAATTTTTCAGGGAAAAATGGGAATTTTCGAAACTATTTTTGGAAAATTAAAATCAGATCAAATTCAAAATCTAACATACATTCGTATTATGTTCCCCAACGAAAAAACCCGAAAACTGATAATATATATTTATATTTTTTATGCATAACATTAATCATAATGCAACACAATAGTCACATTCCTTCCATCCCACATACGTCAACTTCGATTCTTTTGGGAAAAAAATGGAAGAAAAAAAAGGAATTCAAGATAGAGTACTCTTCGGTCATTAACCAATGCATACAACTCTGAAATTTTTACACGGAAATGACGACCAAAGTCAACTTTTACGGAAACTACTTCACTGCAAGTCTAATTGTTAAAACTATGGACGCATGGGTGACTGTATTTCGACAAGTTCAAAATGAAAATCCAAACGTTCTTTAATGACCAGAAAGAGTCGACAAATATTTAACAAAAAGGAAAATAAATGAGCCGGGAAACGGGCTTTCCCAATCGAATGCATATAAAGCCAAACACAGGTTCAATTCTAGTTAAAACATTTCCAAACACCAACACCCTGGCATGAATCATGAATACCTTAAACCCGACATGAATATGCATAATTACTAAATCGTGTTTGAATTCTAGACAAAAATAGTAAATTGAGTCGAAAAAATTGTACCATTGTTCGTCTGGATTAATAGCACATGGTTCAACAAGTGCAGGTTTTTCTCTGTATATATTCTTTTCACCACTGACCCTGAGGAGGTCTATTGTTTAGAGGGGGCACAGGAGGTCTCGGTCTCGCATACTCGGCAAAAATAACCCAACCATCCAAAAACTACAAAAAGAAAAATCACTCGATTTTAGCTATTTATATTATTTATCGAAAAGTCTAAAAAAAAAGTTAAATAAGGTTTCTTGAAAATTTTAAATTCACCTGGCCATCCATGCCTTTGATCCCTGCTTCAGCTTCTTGTAAAGTTGCGTATCTTACAAAACCGTAACCCTTCGAGTATCCAGATACACGATCGGTCATCACTCTAGCTGCACGAAGAAACAAGATAGCCAAATTAATTTAGGATTTTTTTTAGCATCGTACTATAATGTTTTTCCATCTTTAATTAGAAAGAAAAAAGAACCAACGTACCGTGAAGAACTTCACCAAACTTAGCAAAGGCGTCACGGAGACCTTCTGTTGTTGTACGTTTGCTAAGTCCTGAAAAACACCACAAACGTATATAAATCAACGACCTATAATTTCGTAGATGATCGAACATTTAACTGAATTATGAAATAGAAAGGCAGCAAACGTAGATCATACAGAATTATAAATGTACGATATGGGACAAAAAAAATTAATTCGTCTCGACAATCAAACCGATATCTCAATTAAGTTACTTTTACACGCTAAGCAACAACCACTACCTGTAAATCAGTTCTAACAAGAAGTGAACGAAAAAATGTAATTTATTGCAGATAGTCATCTCAAACATCTACAATAAATGGTTCGATTGTGTCGAGACGGTATCTAAACAATGTCTAACCTCAAAAAATCGAAACGATAGTGAAGGTTCGATGCTGGGACAAAATTATTATCTGAAAGCAAGGACTAGACAATATCATAAAGATTAAAACTTTCTACTTAGTATTCATAAAAAATGATCGAGAAGGTAAATCGAAGTAAGTATCCAAGGATCGAAACTGCGTCGCAGCTCACAGACATACAGTAAACTAAAATGATAAGTAAATGTAATTAAATTACGGCAGTGAAATTCCCATAGCTCCAACTCCTTCAATTGACAACAAAAACCTCAGATCACTTTGAGGAATAAATAAAACCCTATGGGGAAACCATTAAAGTGCGACGAATACGAACTCGAGAAATCAATTAGGTCAAAATGACAGCGTGGGAACGTTGAATACAACGGTGAAATTAATTTTAATAATGGAGAAATTGAAGGGAGAGGAGAGAGAAAGTACCGGAGACGAAGAGATTGGTAGACGGTTCAGCGGGAGGAGGCTTCTCGATATTAGTCTTGGGTAAGTTGAATGGGAAGGTGGAGGAAGACGAGCAAAAAGCCCTAATTCCCCTGCACATCTGATAATTGGCTGAAATCGCCGCCGTCGCCGCCTTCATCGCCATTTTCGGGGTTTAAGCTCCTTCGTCTGTAAGGGGTTGGGGGTTTAAGAGAGAGAGAGAGAGGTTTCTAGAGAGAGAAGAATTGGAGTGTAAAAAGGTGCATTTTTCACACGTGCAAACAGAATTATTAGTGAAGGCTTTGGGCTTTACTCGGCCCAATATTTTGCTCTAGTACATGTTAAGATATTTCATTTTAATTTTAATTTTAGTTTTATTAATGTTGAAATACGGTTTTGTAGTGAGGATTTTGGGGCCATAGATGAATTATTTTTACCAAGCTAAGCTCTTTCTCATTTCATTTACTCTTCTGTTCTATCTCTTTCAACAGTACCTCCGTCATTCCTTGTCTTTTACCGACGTCATCTTTACAACCCTTACAGACAATGGGGGATTTCGACATACATTAAATGCTACATACCATTGCCTTTCTGGTTATTTATACTGCTGTTAGAGAGAGAGAGAGAGAGTGGCAATAGTAACACACTCCTCTCAAATTCATTCAAACCTTCTTCCGACTTCAATCTTCATCTTCTGTTTTCTATGAGTACATTGAGCATTTCTTAGTGAAACACTAAATTTGGTGAGTGATTGATTGTGTTTCTGATTGATTGTGCATATGTTGGTGAGTGGTGAGTGATTGATTGTGTTTCTGATTGATTGTGCATATGTTGGTGAGTTTCAATCTTCGTCTTCTGTTTTCTATGAGTACATTGAACATTTCTTAGTGAAATACTGAATTTGGTGAGTGATTGAGAGTGTTTCTGATTGATTGTGTAATTATTACTACATCAAACACTTAAAAATGTTAACCTCTCCATGACAAAATATATAATAGTCTTAAGGTTGATGTAAACATTTTAAGAAAATTAATAAATATACGAACTATTAAAATATAAAAATATATTGATAGTAGTATATGAACATCCTCAACCAAAAGAAACAGCTAAATATATATAACGCTGAAAGATACTGTCTTGATTCAAAGCCAGATTCAAGAGTAAAAAATAATCTCCATAACCCAACAAAAAAACCAAGTATACATATCATCAGCAAACGAGAAGTACCTCACCAATGCAAATCTAAGTCGAATAAAAAATCGAAACAAAACTTTAGAAAAAATCTCCATCCATAAATTAAATACTAATAAGTAAAAAAAATCTAAGCCTTATCAGCTTTAGAAGCTGTGGCAGCAGCTTGACCACGAAGGCGACCGGTTCTTCTGGCGGCAATAAGACCGACCTTCTGTCCAGGTGGCGCATCACGGCGTACCGTACTAGCGTGACCGATATGTTGGTGGTTACCACCACCATGGGGATGCTCAACTGGGTTCATAGCCACACCACGAACCACCGGCCATGAGTTCCTCTTCACTCTGTACTTATGGTAAGCATTTCCGGCCTTCAGCATAGGCTTCTCGGTTCTTCCACCTCCGGCGACCTGGCCAATCATTGCCCGGCATCCACTGGGTACAATCTTCTTGGCACCCGATGGAAGCTTAATCCTTCAATCGGAAAGAAAAAAGGGACTCGTCAAACTAACAAAATCTTCATTTTGTGATCAGCAAAAGCAATTTAACACACCCACACAGATTTGTGTTCGAACGACTAAGATAGTGGTAGCATATTAAAGACTTGATCCAAGAATTTAAAAAAATTATTAGAGATTAAATCAATACCAACCGGAAAAATCAGGATTGAATATGAACAATCTGCATAGTTTTTTTTTGTAATAACCGAAAATTTCAACTAAACATAATCAAGACATTTTGATATGTTAATGCAAAATTGAAGTCTGGCATTTAACATGAGACACATTTCCGAACAAGTTTTGAAAATTTATGAATTGCTTAAATCAACAGTTCCTAAACAATTCCCCAAATATAAAATAACAATTACTTGCAAACTACAGGAATTCAATGGAAACCCTAAAATTTACTAAATTATATAAATCGTGACAAATGAAACCATTTTTTTTTCAGAATTGTGGCGTGCTCAATCCAAATAAATTAAATTATTTTTAAGAGAAAAAAAATTAATTTATTTGGATTGAGCAAGCGACAATCCAAATAAATTAATTACTTGTGATAATTATACCTTGAGGTTCCATTATCAGGGTTGTGGGAGATAACAATGGCGTAATCTCCAGAAGCCCTAGCTAGAACACCGCGATCACCGACGTGATGCTCGACGTTACAAACAACGGCACCCTCCGGAATTGATCTGAGCGGTAACACGTTTCCGACGACGAGGTTGGCCTTCTTTCCGCAATAGATGAATTGGCCGGTGTACATGCCCTCGGAGGCGACGAAAAGCTCCTTCTGGTGCTGGAACCGGAACGGATGGCGGAAGGTAATGCGTGCGAGCGGCGCGCCGCGGCCGGGGTCGTGGATAATCTCGGTGATCACGCCCTTCAGGTAGCCGTTGCGCTCGCCGAAGTCGAGGGATCTGAATCGGGCCGGGCCCTTGCGGTGGTGGGTGTGGGACTTGAATACGGATCCTGCTCCCTTACGCTGTGCTCGGATCACACGACCCAGTTTTTCTCTGTCCTCTCTGTGTGTGTGAGTGTGTTTTTCGGCGGTGGGGAGTGAAAATGAACGGCGGAGGATTATAAATAGGGTTTTGTTCGGCGGTGGAGAGTGAAAATGAACGACGGAGGAATATAAATAGGGTTTTGGAGGATTGGGCTTTTTTGCTTTTGTGCAAATATGCTGATTTAATTTTAGCCCAATAATTAATTGTTTTTTTTTTAAATGGGCTATGAAAGAAATGTGGTGGATTAAAATTAACAAAAGATTAATTGAGAGAAATAAAAAAAAAAAAAAAACTAAATTATAATAATAAAATTCGGATTTTTTTTTTTAATCTTAATTGGGAATTCTTTTATTTTTATTTTTATTTTTATGCAATGTTAATACAAAATACATGATAATGTAATTATAATTTATAAATGTATTTTTGTAGAGCAAATCAAACTCTATTATTTTGCGGGAATTAATATTCTGAATTAGAAATTAGAAATTAGAAATTTGAAATTCGAAATCTCATTTACAGTGGGACTAACAAAATTATATTAATTTAACAAAATATTAAATTATCGAATTAATAATTTAATATATTTTTATCGAGTTGGATCGGAAGAAAATATTATTTAAACGAGGTTATTAATTTATCGATATTCCACTGTAAATTACAAGTCGAATAAAAAAATAGAAAAAAATAGAAACATAATTTTTTTGGAATTAAAAAATATTATTCTAAAATCAAAACTTTTCGAATTAAAATTAAAATCAATAACAAAATTCGAATTTGTTCCACTCCTATCATTCTGCCAAATAACGCTCACAGCTTTCTCTCTCTTCTTCTTCTTCTTCTTCTTCTCTCTCTCTCTCTCTCTTCCTCGCTTTTCTTTTTCTCAGCTTATTTACACCAAAAACCCTCCGCTAATTTATCGGAACTGGTTTTCTAGATCACACTCTGTATATAGATAGATACACATTATATACACATACACACATGAAGCGAGGTTATCAAGACTCTTCTTCTTCGGGTTCTTTAGGACCCCCTCACTCCAAATTAAAGCAGAACCCTGACGGTATTCGTTTCTGATTTTTCAATCCGATTTTTTAAATTAGGGCGCGCCCGATTTTCCTCTGTTTGATGGGCTATTGAATTAATTAACGAAATTAATTTGTTTTGTCGTGATGGGTTATTGAATTAACCTTCAATTTGATGCATATTTTGGTCGAGGTTAGACGGAAAAACGAATTGGGGTTGTAAGAGAAGTTCTGCAAATTCGTTTACTAAATTAGGGTTTTATGAATTTTTTTTTTGCAATTTCTTATAAATTAGGGTAAATTTGTTTACAACTTCTCATTGAATTCGGGTTGTAAGGAAATTTTGCGAATTTGTTTGCAAGCTTTCGGTTTCGGTATTTTGGTGCTGGGTATATAAATTTGGGCAAAAGAAGTTGGTTTTTTGGCTGCTAAGTTCCGATTTTGTGCTGGGTGTCAGCATTTTTGTTTCGTGTTTGGAAAATTGAAGTGATTTTTTTTTTTTTCTTATGTGTTAGGCGATGACGAGTTTTTAGAAGACGAGACAACTAAAATATTTGCACAGAAAGTAGCTGATCATTACAGTGCAAGAACGAACCAGACTCTCGAAGAACGAGAAGCAAGCCCTATTATTCATTTGAAGAAACTCAATAACTGGGTACTTATTGAAATCTAATCTTTGTTCACTACCGATATTAGCAAGAAGTGTTTTTTTCTCATTCGTTTGTTATTGACTGTGTCATCCAATAGATAAAGAGTGTCTTAATCCAGCTGTACGCCAAACGAGGAGACGCAGTTCTTGATCTGGCTTGTGGGAAGGTAGTTTATAAGCTGGATATATATCTTGAGATTCATTCGACATATATATGTACTTGCAAAATTGTTAATCTGCAATCTTTTATTCGTACAAGGGCGGTGATCTCATCAAATGGGACAAAGCGAGAGTTGGCTATTACGTCGGCATCGATATAGCTGATGGCTCGGTAAAAAAAAATCGATTCTTTAAACTCCCTTTTCATTGTCGGTTGATTTTGGCAACATTAAATTCAATTATTTTCATTTATATTCATTTATTGCCAAGCATGCACTTGCTTTTATAAGTGATATAAAAAAAATCGATGGCTGTTTCGATATCAGATAGAAGACTGTCGTACTCGATATAATGGTGATGCAGACCATCATCAACGTCGAAAGAAGTTCTCCTTTCCAGCTAGACTCGTTTGTGGAGACTGCTTTGAGGTAAAATTCAGACTAAAGATTAATTATCTTCGATTCAATTTAAAATTACGTTTCTGACAGCTGTACAACAGCTCAACTAATTGTCGTCAAAATTAGTAATTAATTCATGTCATTGTAGGTTCCGCTGGATAAGATTCTTGCAGAAGATGCTCCGTTCGACATTTGCAGCTGCCAGGTGAGTTTTTACCTTTTGTGTTTCCTCACATCCTTCGATTAAATTATGATAGCTGAAAATTACAGTATTCAAGTTTTTTGAGTTATAATGTAAAATTGTTCGAAACTGAAAATTTGCAGTTTGCCATGCATTACTCATGGTCTACTGAGGCACGTGCAAGGCGGGCCTTGGCCAACGTATCGGCTTTACTTCGGCCAGGTGGCATTTTTATTGGAACAATGCCAGATGCAAATGTCATTATCAAAAAGCTTAGAGAAGGTTTTATCTTGTTGCTCGTGATGTTTACATATCTTGTTGTCATTTGTTCTGATTCTAGAATAAATCAGTTTTTAGTCGTAACTCGTAAATGTAGAGATCTTTTTCATTGTTGTGTATAAATCTTTTACTGAATTGGATGCAGCTCAGGGGCTAGAATTTGGTAATAGTGTGTACTGGATCAATTTCGATGAAGAATTCGAAAGCAAGGTAAATTCTTACGTTTTTTTCCGACACATTCTATTTGGAAAATTCTTTTTTTGTTAAAATTCTTTTATGGAAGCAAGGTAAATTCTTTTTTTTCCGACAAGATTATTTCTTGTTTGTTAGCCTCTCTGGTTCCATTTTTCTTTTTCACCATTTTGCTTCTCTTCCAGAAATTTAAGACGAAAAGTCCCTTTGGCATCAAGTACAAGTTCCATTTGGAGGTATGTGACTTCTTGCCTTCTTGGATGAAAACTAACTCTCTCTCTCTCTCTCTCTCTCTCTCTCTCTCTCTCTCTCTCTCTCTCTCTCTCTCTCTCTCTCTCTCTCTCTCTCTCTCTCTCTCTACACACACACACACACAGTAGTTTCCAGAAAAGTTCCGGTTGTTAGGAGTTTGCGTATATCTCTTTGCAGGATGCTGTGGATTGTCCCGAGTGGGTTGTACCTTTTCACGTCTTCAAAGCATTGGCTGAAGAGGTATATTATATAATCCTTTTTATTCCGATATTTTAACATTAAAAAATTCGTACTTATATTTCAAAAATAAAAAATATGCCAGCATGATTTGGAGTTAGTATTCGTCAAAAACTCACACGTGTTTGTGGGCGAGTACTTGAAGAAACCCGAATTTGTCGAGCTCATGCGTAGGCTCGGTGCTTTGGGTGACGGCAAAGACGACCAAAGTAAGATTTTATTTTATCCTTAAAATATTAATTTCCGTAATTATTATCCAAATAAAACAAATATTAAGTATGTAAAACACTATTTGCAAATTTCGTTGCTTTCAGGTACACTATCGCCAGACGAATGGGATGCCGCCTACTTGTATCTTTCTTTCGCATTAAGAAAGGTTAGGTTTTCACTAAATGAATTCTCGATTAATTAAATAATTTATTAGTATTTTAAATATCGACTTGTGTCGTTTATTTTATTTTATTTTGTTTTAGAGAGGACAACCAGATCAGGGGAGAGTGAACAGTAGAAGAGACAAAGGTAAGATGCAGCTATCGAAGGAGGATATATTATACATCAACGGCAATACTGTGTAACAATGCTACAATGATTTCACATTTTCAATCACGAACCCGACAACGCAAATGACTTGTGAGGGTGGGTAGGACTGATGGAATTACCGATATGCCATTAGCAGCAACTTCTCCTCGATTGTTGCATAACAGAGCAGCTTGTCGACCGAAATGTGCCTTATACTTTGAGTTGTTGTTGCTTCCCTTTTTTTTTTTTTTTTTCTTGTCTAATTACTTTTGTACCTGGAATAATTGGTGACTGGATTACATGGTTGTAACCAAATATTGAATTTTGTTTCTATGAAGTACAATAAATGATTTAATATAGGGTAAATTACTGCCAGTCCTTATATAAGCTCAAATTTCGATAAAATTTCCTTTATTATTCGCCCACCTTTATGTGTCAAATTCAATGAATTTTTTTAGATTTTGTAGAATGTTCCTTAATTTGTATTCTTTTTACGAGAAAATGCAGTTTTCGATTCACCACAATATGCAAATTACAAGCCAAGAGACAAGTCTCATGATCATCTTGTTTCATAATATGAAACCCGAAAGGGATAAAACGGATATTAACTGAAGAATATTCCACATAATGTACAAGATTCCACTATAATTTGACAGCGCAAAGATGAATGTATAATAAGATTCATACCCAATCAAGAGGGTTTTTTACCTTAATTATTTTCAACGATTTTAGCCATAATTTGATAAAAACAAACTTATCACTTAATTTTTCATAATATAAAAAATCTTTTCCCAAAAACATATATGCCAGCCATGCCTGAATTCCCTCAGAATATTCAGATAAGCAAATAAAGATTAATCAAACACCTGTTAACAAACATCAACACTAACAAGTAACAAGTCCATCATCTTAGCCACTTATTCCAAAAAAAGAAAAAAAAGGAGAATCACTCCCAAAAGTTACAGACATAAAATAAATTCTAGACGCAACTTCGACAAATTCATCCACAAAAGACCCGATCAAGCACGTTTGAGCAGAATCACAAGTATGGCCATAATCGCCAACCCCATAAACGAACCTTGCATAACTGTTTCGGCACTTAAGTTAGCAGTTCCGTCGGAATTTAACGTCACTCCATTTCCGCCCTTCCCTCCAAAGAAGCTTTGGAAGTAATCGGACAAGCTGCTCATCATATCAACCACACTATTCTTTATCTTCTGAAACACATTCGTAAACACATTAGCGGGCCCCGCTTCTCCGTTCTCAGACGATGATGAGTCAACGCTTTTTGGAGTTGAATGGTCTATCGGTTCGGAGTCTTCGGCTAGCTCTGTATACGAATTCTCATCGGAGAAAACCAGACCTACAAAGGAAGAAAAAATAAAAAATTCATAACAATGATTTCGTCCCACATCATCATTTCAAATCATGGTTTTTTTTCTTTTAGAACTTAAAATTCACTTACTTGCCCCTTGTGATTGCAGAAACCCTTGGAGCTCTTGGTTTTGTCGAACCGCATTCCAAACATTTGGATCACACGCAATAGAGGCAACAACATTCTACCAATGTTTAAAGAAACAAATTAATAATCCACTAGTAGAAATAGATGAAATCGAATATAATTAATTCGATTAGAAAATTCCAAGAAATTCCCTCTCTCCTTCGATCATGATTTCACTACTTCATTACGAAAAATGTATATTCAATAAAAAAAATCACTTTATTCTTATACAAACATTACTTCTATGTTTAAATACTTCGACCAAAAAATCTATCCGAAAATGAAACGATAATAAGCCCCAAATCACTTCCAAACATTTCGATTTATCTCGTAACTCATCCTAAGTTTAGATGTCTAAATGGTTCACTAGAAAGAAAAGAAATCCAACAATCCTGTCGAACCAACTTTTTAAACGATCAGAACCGAATATAACATGAAATTTCACTAGACTAAGGTCGAAGGTAATTTAGAAACCTTGGCCATAGGACTTTCGTGTAGCAACCGGAACGCCATAATCGCAGTGGCCGGAACTGCATTGGAAACAGAACCACTGTTCTCTATAATTTGCTTGTCCGAAACAGACAAACTAGAATCGCCATCTCCGATAATCGAGCCCTCGTATCCGATTGAACTAGGAGGTGACAAATACGCCCTGCCAATTAAAAAATCAAGCTTTTAACTACAACAATTCGATGCATAATCGATACTGAATCGAACAATTGCAGATTCGGACAATTAGGTAATAATTCAAGAGAAACTATGCTTTAAAAATCCAGTCTTTATTTTTTTTTTCGATTAAAAAAAAACTCAGTACAAAGAAGAAGAATATAAAAAGGGAATATACTTTTCAAGGGCGACCGAGAGTTCAGAAGTGGCCTCTTTGGCTTCTTGAATGGTCGGCACGCCGGCGAACACGAGCCTCGGAATCGGATCGGCGGCGGCAGCCGCCATCTGCTCCTCCTCCACGCCGGCGAAAACCCAATCGTCCATCTCCGAGCAAGGCCTCTGCATCCCAACCCCCGAATTCGACGATGCCACCAGCTTTACTTCCTCCGGCGTCGACGCCGCCGTACGGGCTGAAACGGCCCATCGGGCTGAGACGGAGGCCGGAAAATGCTCCGCCGATATACTTCGGAGACCGCCGGCGGCGGTCATCCCCGCCACCTTGGCCGCCGCCCTGATCGCTCCGCCTCCCATAGTTGGAGAATTAAGGATTGTTAGGGAATGAAAATGAAACCCTGATTCGGATATTGATCAATAATAAATTTTTTGTATATATAAAGGGGAAAATGATTTTGTGGATTGAAGACGAAAAGGAAGGGGAAGGATATTGTACCGAGGAAAGAGACTTCTCATATTCGTGGGAAAAGCGGCAGATGACACGTGTCACATTTCCTTCAAACATTATTACATATCCAATTTTTTCTTTTTTTTCTTTTTTTGGGTGTAAATTCTAATTTTTTTTAAGACTTTGTTTTTAAGAGATTTGAGAGGACGATTTTTTATTTTTTAATGAGTGAAATTGAGAGGACGATTTCTCAAATGGACATTTTTTATTTTTTTTTATCAGTAAATGGAATTGGACTGTGATATGAGTTGATTCGATCAAAATAACCATAAATTAAATCCATGACATTGGTTTATTAATACTATGTTGACAAAGACAACATTTTCTACATTTTTTTTTAACATAAAAACAACTAAAATATTATTACTAATATTACTAGATTATATTTCATTACTAAATAAATATTTACATTATTTTAGTTCATGAAGAAAAAGTTTTTTTTTTTTGTAGGCAACAAAAATTGGGCCTTCAAATTGGGCTGATTGGGCCTCACGTGGAAGCCCGATATTTCCAATCTTATCTTATGTACTTTATAAATTAAAAAATAAAATGGAATAATTTCTGAAGAATTCCTGCAAATATATATGTTGTGTGCAGGTACAGTAATTGTCTATTTCTCTGAAGAAATCCTGCAAATATATATATATATATATATATATATATATATATATATATATATATATATATATATATATATATATATATCTATCTATTATCTTATTTGTCGTTTGGTTTTTTAAGTATGTTATATATGTTTTCCTATTTTGCCCTTTGTCTGATATTATATACATCGGGTAAATTACAGTCACCCTCGAGATAAGGTCAAATTACGAACACACCCTTCATGTTTTGGTAATTACAACTACCCATCAATTATGAATCTACTTACACGTCCACTCTTGTGTTGTCTAATTTAGTGTAATCTTCTAGATTATGTGGAATATTCTCAAGTTTGTACTCGTTTTACCCTATTTGAGCGTCATATTTTGAAATAAGATGATCATAAGATGTGTCTCTTGACTTATAAATATCAGATTTTAGTGCATCCGAAACTGCATTTTTACACAAAACGAGTACAAACTAGAGAACATTCAATGGACTCTTGAAGATTATATATGTTGAACTTGACACCACGTGTAAGAGGATTCATAGTTGATGGGTGGACATTGTAATTACCCAAATATGAGGGGGGTTTCGTAATTTAACCTTACCTTAGGGGTGATCGTAATTTACCCCATATATATACATATATATATTTTCAGATAATATATATGACATTTTTGAGTTAAAATAAGCAATTAGAGTGACACTTGAAAACGAAACTTGTTTTTTTCTTGTATACAACACTAACCATCATGATTAAATACCATAAAATTTCATAAGACAAAAGAGATACATAAATAATTTTTTGTTAAACCTAAGTAGGACGAAAAATTAAGTATACTAGTGATCAATTAATATTGCTCCATTGCTTAAGGCCCGGAGTGGTCCATTTCGGGCATTTTGGGCTGAAAAAACTCGAAACAACCTTCGAATTCAAGAGCTCGACAATCGGTGCAAATGTAACGCACCTAGGCGTCTTGTACTGATTAATCGAAGCCCCTAAACTAATAGCGTAATCCATGAGCTTATCGAATGTTCCGGTCTCCACAATCTTGATCTCCAAAGGGCCAATCGCCTCGAAAACTCTGTTCTGTCTGTAAACGGTGTCCAACGATTCCTCAACGGTGAGGCAACAATCTTCGATAACGGACGGAGGAACAATCTTGATATTATTATTATTATTTTTATTGGAGCCGAGAATTAGCTCCCAATATAAAACGTAATGGCCCGGAATTGTAGTAATTGTATCGGCATAGCTAGTGTACTCAGCTAGACAGGCACCGAACGGTACTAAATGGTTCGTTGCGTTTTTAACGGCGTTTTGGAGCTCCACCTCGTCGGTTTTGTCCGTGTCGATGCTCAGAACGACGTTTTTGCGGCAGACGAAGTTGAACTGCGGCGCTTTGTTCTTGAATCCGGCGACGCGGAGAATATCCCCGACTCTGTATCTGTATAGCCCTGCATGAAAAGAAAAGCACCATAAGGAGGTTAATTGCTAGTATTAATAACACGTAAATTTTTTTAGCAATTCGATATAGCACAGTCGTACTACATGCAATAAACTCTAAGATAATGTGTAATTGAAAATTTACCGGCATAAGTGGTGACGACAAGCTCGTATTCATGTCCGATTTTGACATCAACCAAGTCAACCAATTCCTTTTCTTCTTCTTTCTCGTCAGCTTTTTGAACCGGCAAGAACTCGAAATACGCCATGTTCGGAATAATAGTGTACGAAACTTCACTAGGCTTGCAAAGCGGATTAAGGTTCACACCAAAATAACACTCCGACGAAGCGTACATTGTACAAACAAGCGGCAAACCATTGCTATAATAATCAAGAATCGGAATATACTGCGACATCGTCCCGGTCACAATAACATCCACATACTTAGTATTCGGCCACAACCGAGTAATAATCCCTTGCCAAGACCCTTTCCCGCATTCGGTTGCAACAAAATCCGCCAACTCCGGGTCGGGTTTTTTCAGGATGCGGGCAACCGCATCCCTTACGGACGGGTCGGTGATCAGCTGATTCACCGACCCTGTCCGTATATCCTGGCAGAGTAGCGTCCAGTGTTTCTCCAGGAACCGGATGGCCCGGATAAACCCGGACGCGAAAACCGCCCCGACCCGGAGGACCTGGGCGTGCTCGCAAAGGCCGCAGAGCATTTGCGAGTACATGCTTTGGTACGAGTCGGGGCAGAGGATGGTTTCGTTCGGGCTGGTGTAGTTGGTGTACGGGTCGTAGGGTCTTTCCTTGAAGTGGGAGCTTTTGTAGTAGCTCGTTAAAACGGGCCGGGCCAACAACCCGCCCGGGGTTTTGGTCTCGGATTTTACGAAAAGGAAGTACATTCCTTTGCCTTTGTCCAAACCGTGTACGAATTGACTCATAACCGGCATTAGTAGGCTGTAGAGTAAAGATCTTCTGCTTAGTTCTTCTTCGATTGTTGGCATCATTTTTCTCTCTCCTCCGGATGTTCCGGAACTGATTTAAAAAATTATAAAAAAATAGTATTTGAGTTAAAATAGGTGAGAAATAAAAGAAAATATCTGAAATTGTGTAAAATCTATTTCCTGGAATAAAAAAAAAAGCCGTGAAAAGTTACAGTGTAAGTGGTTGGTGTAAGACGGAAACAAACCTTAGGGGTTTTTTGGTAATTACGAATAGGTGAAAGTGGTTTTTGTAATTTAATCTAAGTTTAGGGGGATTTAGTAATTTACCCTAAATTATTACTAAATAAATATTAAAATAGCATAATATTAATTAATTGGTATATCTAGACTCTAGAGATAAAATAGCTAAAAGATACTTCGTAAAATATTAAAATATAAAAGATTTTGATCTGACTTTAACTGAGCAATTATTAAGGAAAATTTTAATTGTGACCCTATATATTGGTTAATTTAGGGATTTGGTCTTCTAAGTTATCCTATTTCTATTTTACATTCAATAACTTTACAAATTTAGCATTTTTGGTCTTATTGTTCTTAAAATTTTAGTTTTGATTTTTTTATTAATTATGTGGCTAACAAATTCATTAAAATATTATGAATGACTCTTTATTTTATAAAAAAATCATGTGCAACTAAAATTAAAATCATGAAAAAAAAAAATCAAGCAAAATAGGACCGAAAATGCTACATTTCAAAAGTTATTGCATGTGTAGCTAAAATAGAACAACTTAGAGGACTAAAATCACTAACTAGATTAACATGAAGGACCAAAATGACAATTTTCTTAAATCATTACTTTGTGTATCTATTTTTTATCTACATTATTTTTGAAATAAAATATTATAGTATATATATTATTAAAAGGGAAAAATACAGTTCTAGTCCCTCACATTAGCACAAATTTCACATTTGGCGCCTTATATTCGCAACAAATACATTTGGTCCCTCGTATTTCAAAAATCATCATTGTTAGTCATTTCCGTCAATTTTCCGTTAAAACTAACGGAATCAAGCCTATGCCCACCAATGACTGAACTGACAGACTAACGGTAAATTGACAAAAATGTCGAAAAACGTTAAATTATTGGAACATGAGGGACTAAATGTGTTTTTATGAACATAGGGGACCAAATGTGAAACCGGTTCAAACTTGAGGGGTGAAAACTGTAATTTTCCCATTATTAAAATATGAAATGATAGTGCATATATAATAGAATAGAACCTTGTGAGGAACTCGGAGATGGGGTCGGAGCAGAGGATGGGGGAGGAGTCGCCGGCGGCGATGCGGTTGATGTACGGCAGAACGTCCTCGTAGGCGACGACGGGGATTGTTTTCTTGAAGGTATCTCCGTCGGTTTGGCCGCCGCGGAGGTTATGCCGCTTCAGGTACTCTGCGCCGGCGTTTCTTGACAGGATTTCGGCGAGGACGCGCTTCTGTACTTCGCCGGCGTTTCTGGTGACTTCCTCGATGAAATCGAGCTTCGTCTTTTTGTTGTCGGCCAGTGCCACGTCACTGTAGTGATTATTATTACTACTGTGGTTGTTCTGAGTTTGCTTCGGTGCTTCAGGCATGGTGGCGTGTGTTACGTACGTTCTGTGTGTATTTGTGTATGTGTATGTATATGTAGAGAGAGAGAGAGCTAGAGAGAGAAAGTGCGGAGGTGCTGGGAAAGAGAGAGGGGAGAAGTGGGGTTTATATAGAGGCGGAAGAGATGAATGTGGGGTCCACATTGTATGGTTTGAAAATTGAAACCGCAAATTGAGCAACAAATTAAAATAAATATATTAATTAACTAAATAAATAAGTAACTAAATAAATGGGATGGCAAATTTGTTATTCTGTTTTATTATGACGTGAAACTTTATAGCAAATGTTTTTTAGCAAGCTCTAAAATTAGTTAGCCGTTAATTTCCCTCTGCCTAATTCATGTTCCTTCTTGTTTCTCTGTCTCTGTGTGTGTGACTTGGACGTATCTATTTTGAAAAGAAAAACATAAATAAATAAATATATATATATATATATATATATATATATATATATATATATATATATATATATATATATATATATATATATATATATATATATATATATATATATATATATATATATATTGGTATTTGTTACAATCACTCAAATTATATCGTAGTTACGACTTGCGAGTGTACGCGAACCGAGTCGTATCGAACACAAATGTAAGTATGTGAACATTTATTGAGTTTTTAGAGTTGTATTTGAGCTTGGCTTGATTATCAAACAAGTGGAGCACGAAATATCTTAGTTGTTATTTTGTGTACATTTTTTTTTTTAATTTATTGACTTCGAGCTAAATAGTTTTTGTCGAGTCGGCTCATCGAGTTCACGAGCCGACTCGACTCTGCTAATTTATAATTCAACCAAGAAATGTAGAGACTTTTAATACGCTAAATAAATTAATATTTATTTCTCACATATTAAAATAAAAGAAAATCTCATTGGGTGGTGGGAAATGTAAAATGCCACGTCATCTTCCTCGATCTCTCATGGCGGCTATGGGGTGCAGGAAATTGACCGGCAATATCCAGTAAAACCCGCGCACTGTGTGCACACATTACATGCGTGCTTGTACTGCGGGTGTTTCTCCACACACCAGCAGCTCCGTTTCCCGGTAACACAAAAAAAGGGGACTATATTTAATTTCTTTTTCATTCCCGGGCTTTACATTTACCCGTACCTTTCGTACGGTACGCCGCAGCTGCAGATTAATTAACCACTAATAATTCAAAATTGTAATCTTTATAAGATAACTAAAAAAGAAGGGTAAATTACACCTACACTCTTGAGGTGTGTTAAAATAATTTTAAGGTCCCTGTAGTATTAGTTATTACTGTTACACCCCTGAAACAATTACCGGAGCCAAGATTTCATGTGCTGGGGACCGATATGTACTATATTTGTGTTCCGCCGTCAATGTAAATCTTACATAAAATAATGAGGATTTAAGAAATGTTAGGAGATCCTTGTTGTCTCCACCCCTGCTTGAAAGTAATAGCCTGTTCGAACTCTATCGAAATAACTTATCCAATGCATTATTCCGTTAGGGTTTCCAACAATGTTTCAGGAGTAATTATAATTACTGATACTACATGGACCTTAAAACTTATTTTAGCATACCTTAAGGATGTAGATGTAATTTACCTTAAAAAAAAAAAATCAAGTGGATTCTGAAAATTAAGCATGTCTTTACATTACACTAGTATTATCTTATCTTATCTTTACCACGACGTTGTCACACATGATAAATAAAATGATTATTATTTTTATCTTTTTTTTTTCCAACTAAAATAAGTGCATATTATTTGCAAATCACAAAAAATGGGGAAAAAACATTATTAAAAATACCCTTTACTTGTCTTCACTAAAAAAAACGAACATCACTTTATTTTTCAAATTCTTGTTTTACAATACATTTTCCTAACACTTTTAAACATGATTTGGCCGCTACAGTGTATTTTGTTTAATTTCAAACCATAAAAACAAACATTACTTTCCTTCTCAATTATTCTCTCAAAACTTATTTCCCAAAATAAATTGAAAATAACTTCCAAAACGTATCCAAACATTAGCATTATCTCTCTAACTTTTAGCTTCTGAATACTCGAAACCTAATTATATATATATATATATATATATATATATATATATATATATATAGATATATATATATATATATATATATATATATATATATATATATATAAAATAAAAATAAAGGGAATAAGGAGACAATAACAAGGGAAGGTGTGTGGTGCTTGGTGCAGATATGAGGTCCTGAGGATTTCTGGGAGTGATTTTTTTCGATGTGGGAGACAATAATAACAGTTGTGCATATCTTTGACCGTTGACTATCTTCATATTATTATTTTACGAGTGGAAAAAATAAATAAATAAACAAATTTTATTAATATCCCATGCATTAAAATCCGCATTGTGTTTCAAAATAATTAATTAATTGTCGTTTAAAGTTTCGAAAATACATATTAATGGTTTGCTGAAATCAATGTGGTTAAATATATATAAATCAATGATGCAAGCTAGCTAAGCTTTATGTGTACTCGAAGCACCTTCTATTGTGGAGAAGATATGATGTTTGTCGACATAAACTAAGGGCTCGTTCGGTTACCGCTATAAGGTTCTACTGACTAAATAGTAGGGGCTAATAGCATGTCCGGTTGGTAAGATTCACACTTTTACAAACCCGCTACTAAAATCAAAGCCCGCTATTAAATGCTACTATTTCTTTAAATTAGTAGCACCCCTCCCCCTGAGATTAATTTAATAGGGGGTGACTAAAAAGGAAAAAGACAATTTTATCCTTAAAATCATATTTTATTATTTTAAACTTTGTGGTTTTATAGACAATTCATATATAATAACCGATTTTAACAAATTTAATAGAAAATCTAATCTAAGAAACCGAACATGCTACTAACTAAATAATTAATTAGTCAGTAGGGAGTTAATCCAATCTCATGTAATCCAATCTAATCCAATATAGGTAACCGAACGAGCCCTAAGTGAAAAAAGTTTACTAACTACGGAGAAACGTATCCATAATTTCGAAACGGGAAAATTACGGTTTTTGTTCCTCAAATTTACATTAGTTTTATATTTGGTCCCTTATGTTTACCAAAAAAAAAATGCATTTTGACCCCTCATGTTTCAATAATATAACACTTTTGGTCATTTTCGTCAATTTTTTGTTAGTTCATCAGTTAAGGCAATGACTAAAAGTGTTAATTTTTTGAAGCATGAGGGATCAAATGTATTTTTTGTTAACATAGGGAACCAAATGTGAAATTGATATATACAAACTTGAGTGATGAAAACTGTATTTTTTTTCTTTCAAAAATGATAAACAATTTTTTGTTGAATGATATATGTATGTCCAGCGTATCACAAAAACTTCAACTTCTTAACGTTTTTACGTTTCAGACACGTTTCGTGTCAGACGCTCGAAGTGTACACTTGCCGAACACCCTATGGGCCATTTTGCAATTTCTAAAAAAATTTAAATATATTTTTGAATAGCAAATTTTCAAATATTTTTATCAATTCCTTAATTAGTTACATGATTTAACAGCAAATTAATAATTAATAGAAAAAATCATTTTGAATATGTTTGAATGAAAATATATAAATAGAATTTATTTATAAATGAATATTTTTAATATTTGAGCGTTTCTTCCAAGCTCCTATATCCTCATTTATGTGATATACAATTTTCCCGTGTCCGTTTCCCCATAATAACTACGTAATTTGAAAGTTGTTCATATAATGGCAGATAACGAAAGACAGAAGAAAATCTTGAGCATAAACACACGTTCACACAAGATTATGTCCCATGATTAAGGGAAAGAGGTGGGTTAATTAACTTATTTAAGAATTCCCAAACAAATCTTAATTAAACCAAACCTAAGCCCACGTAAAAATGTGCAAGTGTCCCACTTTCTTAATCTTCTAATTAACAAACATTAATCCTACTTAAGAGACCAAATTATGTGGTCCCTAAACTCGTGTCCCTATTCTAGCTTACCAAAAGGTAGATATTGCCATAGTTAATACAATCACTAATCCAATTTTTAAATATTAAGATTAAGGTAGTCTTAGAATATGTTTGGCTAATTTTATTGGACAAATTACGGCCACCCCTGAGTTATGGTCATATTACGAAAACCCACCTCATGTTTGGAGAATTACAACCACCCCCGATTATGTATTATCTTAAGAAAATACCCCTCAAGAGGTAAATTTAGAGATGTTAAATCGGTAAAACCGAACCGAAATTTCGGTACGCCAACATTTCATACGGTTGATCGAACTGAATATACGATTTGGTTCGGTAAATAACCGAATTACATAAATTTTATGTAAAAATATTTGAAAGGAAGGTGGTGGGCTGTAATTACCCAAACAAGACGGTTTTTTTTTTTAATTTGGCCATACCTCAGGGGGTGGTCGTAATTTGCCGAAACTTATAAGATGTTAGAAATAGCTTATAAGCTCTTCCAAAGTGTTTGGTAATTGTTTTTCAAAAGAATCTTAAAAATTCAAAAAATAAGCCACAACATTTTTTATTTAAGATCTTATAATGAGTAAAATTAGCTTATAAATTTATCTAAAGACTTTAAAAAATTGATTCTGCAAATAAGATGTAACAATTTATCATCTTGTTAAACAGTTTATCAGATTTTAGAGGTTATCAGCTGCTTAAAATAAGCTTAGCCAAACGGCCACTAATTCAGGGTCCTCCCTAAAACGTGACATGATTATTATGAATCAATAAAATTACGTGCTAGACTTTCAAATTGATGGCCTAATTAAGGCACAAAATCAATGCAAAAAGTGTTTTTTGTCACATGCAATTGCTTTAATTTGCTTAGGATTATGACATCATGTGAATTAGGTTATCAAGGTTGCACCTTTTTTTTCCCTTAATGTATAAAATTGAATATATGTAACTAATTATTTGCTTTTGATGTGTGGGGGTTATGTACATGTCGATTAATTAGTTATAATGATGATGTATCAATTATGATTTTGCCCTTTTTAGGTGCATGTTAATTAGGTAGACAAATTTCTAGACATTTTAAACATGTTTAATTTAATATTTGTAGCTTTTTTTTAAGTGAAGAAAAGACCACACAAGTTAAAGAAAATCGAACGGCTTCGATTTTTACAAAATCTAAGGTTTATTTCTATCATATCACTAGTCGTAAAAATCTGAAAA